TTTGACTGAGCCAAGTTCAAAAGAAAATATGACAGTTATGGGACAAAATGGGTTAAATCGTGTGTATTATTCCAACTTTCTGCAATATAAAGATGATTTCTTTGACTTTTTGTGTTTGAAGAATATGCATGTCACAGGCACTTTAAGTACAGTAAATCTCTGTAAGGACAGCTGGTCCCAGCAGTAACTGAACATGAAGCAAAACACCCAATCACTGCTTCAGTGCTAACTCTCTGATGCACTGAAAAAAAAAAAAAATTCCCAGAAATGATCTCAACAAAAGGGCAACCTCGTCCACCCCAGGTCCAGTCATGACCTGAGTCAAACCTGGCTCTGGTGGAAATCTCAGAGCCCAGAGAGAAAACTTAGAACCGCTGTGACTAAGTGTGTGATAGTTTGTCACGTGATTCACCGCCAGGCAATTAACTCTGCTATCTGACATCCCTTCGCTGTATTTTAAGAGGAAAAATCACTGCCAACTAAACAGAATTAGTTTAACAGATGTTCACACATTACTCATGGACAAAACAAATCCATATTTCCATGCAACAGAAAGATACTGCAATAAAATGGAATTCTAATTTATGTAAAACCCATTATTACTATTACTATTATGCAAACAGCCAGTAACAAAGCTGAACTTACAAAAAGAATGACTAAAAAGAAGGAAACAGGTGCATATATTTTATAAAAGCACATTAAACTATTAGAAATGCAGCTATTTCTCTTTAAACTTGGTGTTTTTTTAAACATTGGAAACAGCTCTGCTTTAAATCCACTCATGTTTCCAGGTTTTGAGGGGCCTAAAAGGAAATATTTCCAACATTTCCAGTGCTGAATTAAAAGCCAAAAATGACCAATTACTGTTGAAACCGAACAATTTTCACCATTTCTCACCTGACGGATTTTTTATTATTATTTTTTCACAATAATCCATTTTCACTGCCAATGATATTTTCCACTTTTCAAGAAAAGCATAAACCTTTGAGGCTTTTAGAGGTGCGTAGCAGAGAACGGAGGTTAGGAAAAGGAACTCATTTGGGGGACAGGAAAGGTCTTTCTCCACCTTCCATTAGTGGTAAAGAAACATTTTAACTAACAGAAAAAAGGGAAATGTTGCAAAGAGAGAGTAATGAGAGATGGAGATAATAGAAACGTTTTAAAAAGGTTGTTGAGTAAACACACGTGGGAGGACCGCAGAAGTTAAGACATTTAAAGGGATCCACAGTTAGTTTTAACATTAGACTTTATTTGATAAACATTGTTTTAACTGTAAAAGAAAGTCTGTCAAAATACTGAAGGCTGTTCAGTTTTCATAAAATTTTTAAAATATCATGTCACACGGACTGAGCCATTTTATACACATAGGTTATCTGTGCCAGACTGCAAGCGAGCTATATCCACCCTGAAGGTTAATCTTGGACAATTTCTAACTATCAAATCTTTTAAATGAATCAGAGCGCGTTGACAGAGAGGAGAAGGTAGAAATGACTCAACCTGCAGCTGAAAATGTGGATGGAGGACAATGGCGCTGCTCATGGATGTAGAGGCTCAGTTTAGCCTGTTAGCCTTCATGTTAGCGCCAATGCTATATTGCCATAAATATGTATTAGCTTGGCGCTAGCTAGCAGGCTAAACTGAGGTCCTCAATCCACATTTTCCGTTGCAGGCTCAGTCATTTCTTCATTCTCCTCTGTCATGTGGATGGAGGACCTCAATAAGCTTGTTAGCTAGCGCTGCGGCTGAACTAATATATATATGTGGCTATGTAACATCGGCACTAGCGGGAAAGGTAACATGCTAAACTGAGGTCCTCCATCCACATTTATAGTTGCAGGCTGAGTCATTTCTACATTTTCCTTTCGTGGACGGAGAACCTCAGTTTAGCTTGTTAGCTTTTGCGCTAGCGCTGAGCTAATACATATATATGGCAATATAGCGTCGGTGCTAAAAGGCTAAGCTGAGGTTCTTCTTCCATGAAGCAGCTCTGTTGTCCTCCATGCATATTTTCAGTTACAGGCTGAGTCATTTCTACCTTCTCCTCTCTGTCAACGCTCTCTGGTTTCATTTAAAAGATTTGATAGTTAGAAATTGTCCAAGATTAGCCTTCAGGGTGGATATAGCTAGCTAGCAGCCTCGCACCGATGACTTAGTTCAAGTCATCAGTTACCCGGTATGCTTTGCGGTGTCAATAAAATGACTCCGTTCGTGTGACAATATATTTTTAAAAATTTATAAAAACTGAACAGCCTACAGAATTTTTACAGACAAAAAAATCTAAAACCTTTATCACAAAATTTTGATTTCAGTTACAAGAACTGTTGAAAAATAGAGCATTTTTGGTCATTTTCAAGGAATTGCAAAAATGCCTTGTTTGGGTTTATGCATTGCAAAGAAAAAAAAACTTATTTTCTGTGTTTGGATTTATCAATCCTCAGGAGGCAGAAGTGGCAGTCAGCCCAACGCGCAGCATCCGGGATAGCGGCTACATCGACTGCTGGGACTCTGAGCGCAGCGACTCCCTCTCCCCGCCACGCCACGGACGCAAGGATTCATTCGACAGCCTGGACTCGTTCGGCTCGCGCTCACAGCAGACCCCATCCCCAGACGTCCTGGTGCCCCGTGGCAACAGCGATGGTGGGAAAAGTTGCATTTTGTGCTGTTAAAGTTTGTTTCTGTTCCTTTAGTCTTACATTTCGAATGCTCAGCCTTTCAATAAATGTTTTGTACCTGTTATGTTGTTGGCTTAAAAAAGTCAGGGTTTGCAGATAAAGTCTATAGATAAATGTAGAGGGGTATTGTCTCTGTAGCTCCAGTACAGCTTGTTGTTCTCCTGCTTGTGTTTTCACAGGCTAACGCCCAGTGTTGGTTAGAGGCTGTTTGAAAGAATACTGTGAACTCCCTAAAGGCCCTGCCTGTTTTAAAGTAACTTACGGAATGATGATTGTTGACCTTTAACAGGATCCACATACTGTATGTGTTCAAAATAGGACAGAAGTTTGGTGGCTACAATGCTGGTATTGTTGAGGTCAAATTACGTTAATTCCACAGTTCAGCTTCCTTTCTCACAAGCTAATCATGTATTTATTTACAGCTTGTCAGCTCTGTGATCATCTTATCTGGTGTCAATCTGAAATGTCAGAAAATATGAGTTTTTTTCCAGCAACAGCTGCGTTTTTTTTTTGTAAAATATCTTGTGAACCAATGAATAATTTTACTAAAACTCCCAGATGGCCATTTTTACAGCCAATGAGCCTAAACGTGTTGTGGTAGTAGCTGAGACTGATCCATAATCGGAGGTTTATTGTAACTAACCGTGCACTAACCCTAAAGCACTAACCCAATTATTTAGGTCCCCTAATTTTAAAGCACTAACACACTGAAAATTTTAGCAAAAGCTAATTCTAAAGCACTAATATAATCCAGSTGACACATGAAACATTCTTCAGAGTCAACATGAGACAATATTTACTGTGTGCAGAGTGTTGTCACTTAGTGCCCTTGGCGGGCCAAACGGGAGTCACCCGCAGGCCACCTTTGGCCCGCAGGCCTCGAGTTTGACACATGACCTTGTAGAGAAGTGACACATTTGAACAAAATGTGTGACAGCTTTCACCCTCAACTGTGAACAATAATGTTGATCAATAACATTTAAGGACCTCAGTTAGTGCTTCTAAATTTAACCCATAAATTTAGCAAGTGCTAATCCACTAATAAATTTAAAAAATAGCAAAAGCCCTAAAGCACTAATCAGGAAATGAGTTCCCCTATTGGTGCTTTAGTGCTTTAGGGGAACTGTGCCCACCACCGGTAACTAAGTACATTTACTTAAATAAATTTTGAGGATTTGTAAGTTTTTTTAATAATTTTTAAAAATTGTTAAATTATACTTTAATTTTTTTACGTTTTAAAGTTAAAAATGATACTTTTACTTCTTTACTTGAAAATTTAACACCTAGTTACCCGTTACAAAATAAAATATGTCTGAACTCATCATGAAAGCAGTTGTTTATGTGCTCTAAAAAACATGAAGTTTACTCAACCATGTCAGCTGGTTCCACTAAACGTAATCATCTTGAACAGAAATTCCTGGGAGAACTTGTGCCGTTGGCATCTCTTTTTTACTATTTAGACATTTTTGACACTTTATTTTTTAGTGTTTGTAAAAAAAACTTGTACATTTGATGGATAAACTAAGATTACATCTTGGGAATTAAAAACACCTAACTCTCAGTTTCTTCAGTATTGTTAGAGGATCACATTAAGATGTCTTGCTGAGGAATTTTCCCCACTGAGAAGGGAAAGTCCTTGAGTAATGCAGGTCTCCAAATCCAGGTGTTAACGGTGACATTAAAACACGAGCAATGTGTTTAAACCTCAATAAATACAAATAAAATGGCATCTTGAGAAAAATATTCCTGACTTGGGGCTACAATTTAGTTAGCGCAAGCTGCATAAAACAATGATTTATGATAGCTGCTTTGTTTCATAAACAGCCTGCTCAGGTGAGATTGATGCTCTGCCGCTGGAATGCAGTGCATTTAATAACACTGTAAGAACTGTAGGATCTAACAGCTGGCAAAGATTTTAGAGTTCTCAAAGTAAGTCTCGGGTATCTGCCACGAGGCTCGTCAATCGACAGTTCTCTTTTGAACTCGTCCGTTTGTCTCCTACCATCCACCTTCTGCTCCTCCTTAACTATGACTCGAAAAACTGAGTGTTTTTTTTTATTGCATAGGACCTTTAAAGAGGAGACGATGTCTGTTGTTAAACACATTTTTAATGAGAAGGCTTTGACATTTATGTGTTTTATCTTAGTAGAATAAAAAGTCTCAGTGGCAGCTTTAAAGTGGAGCTAAACAGCTTTTAAATAATAATAAAAAGAGAGTATCATTTACAATGTATGCTTTAAAAACACCATATGAATCTAAATATTTGATATAGCAGCACATTTTTGATGGTGTAATTTGCTCCTCGCAGCATGAAGATAATGAAAATCAGGTTGCAGACTGTCTGCAGTGACTGAATCATCTTCTTTTTATTTCCTCCAACATTTCAGTCTGACTCCTACTGAGGCTTAAACCAAAGTTCTTCCCGTCTGAAAGTAATTTACTCCTCGTCTTTAGCACACTAATAATGACAATCAGTTTTCTTTGGATGTCACCATCTCTCAAACAGTATCAGCATTTTAACAGGGCCGGGGCCAGAGGGGTGGCCAGGGTGGCAATTGCCACCTCTAGCACCTGATTGGCCACCCCCAAATAATTAACAAGAGGAGGGGAGTCTTGGATTATTATTTTTTTTAGATTGTATAAAAGATTGATCTCTGAAACTACAGTATGATATACATTTTCAGCAGTGTATGTTTAAACATGGCTGGTTTATAGCTCTTTGTAAAATTAGATTCACCATTAGTGGTTAGCTTAACTCGGGACTAGCATCATTGTTTGTTACAAAATTTCAGCTCAGTGTTTATTAAAACAGCTGAATCAAAGTAATTTGGTGGACATCTTAAACTTTCAAATTTAGAGTGTTTTTCTTTTTATGTGCCCTCTAAAAAAGCACCTTGCCAACACTTGGAGAAGGGCGTCTCTGCCGTCACTAAGTAGGATTTTCTTATTTTGTGGGAGGAGTTGAACCAAGACGTGATCGGTCAGATTGATGATGGGGTTTGAACAAGCTGGGGGCAACGGGGAGTAGTTTGGTCGAATCAGGCAGGAAGCACCAAATTTTTAAAATGGAGATTAATTTTAGTCATAACTCAAGACAGGAAACTGCTAGCTGCTCAAAATTTGCACAAAATTTGTACGCCATACATGTGGAGGGACGTGTAACAATTTAACTCGGTCAAAACATCCCTAACCAGCCTGTAAAAAGATAGCTAAAAATCAATATGAATATGAATATCAGTCATATTTTGAGACAGGAAGGTGCTACCTGCACAAAATTTGAAGTCAATTATGTTTAAATGTTCACATAATTTTTTATGAGTCATTGTTCTGTTTTAAACTGAATATAAAAAGTCATTAAACCAAATTATTTTACTATCAGTACTTCCTCTTTAAGTTACCCCACAAGACAAGTCAATCTGACCAATCACGATTAGGGCTAACTCCGCCCCCACACCAACTCCACCAATCATGATTAGGGCCAACTCCACCCACACACCAACTCCACCAATCAAGATCAGGGCAAACTCTGCCCACACACCAACTCCGCCAATCATGATTAGGGCAAACTCCGCCCACACACCAACTCCACCAATCACGATTAGAGCAAACTCCGCCCGCACACCAACTCCGCCAATCACGATTAGGGCAAACTCCACCCACGCTTCTACTCCGCCAATCACGATTAGGGCAAACTCCGCCCGCACACCAACTCTGCCAATCACGATTAGGGCAAACTCCGCCCNGCCAATCACGATTAGGGCAAACTCCGCCCGCACACCAACTCTGCCAATCACGATTAGGGCAAACTCCGCCCACACACCAACTCCGCCAATCACGATTAGGGCAAACTCCACCCACGCATCTACTCCGCCAATCACGATTAGGGCCAACTCCACCCACACATCTACACCGCCAATCACGATTAGGGCCAACTCCGCCCAGACACCAACTCCGCCCACATCAAGATCTCCGCCAATCACAGTTAGAACCTGCTACACACACACCAGAACCTCCACCAATCACAGGTAGGGCCAACTCTGCCCACAGGACAACATGTACTGCAGAGACCCCTAGATAAACACCTGTGCAACCTCTTGCAAAATAGTCTAGCTTCGCTCCTGCGTTTTGAATGGCTGATGTGAATTTCCATTTCAAATTACAATATGGGACATTTTAAACCAACAGATATCTACTTGCCATGTTGAAATATCAAGAAAAAAACTAGTTTTCTCTGAGATTCACCATAGGTTCACAGAATTCATACAGATAAACTTTGTTCTTATTGTGAGCTTTCACTTGTTAGGATACGCGATTGCCAACTGTTACGGCCAGAGGTCTTTCTTCTATGTTTATACTAAAGCATGGAATGACATTCCTCAAAACATAAAGTCCATTTCAAAACTACAGCCCTTTAAGAAGAATCTTGTCTGCCATCTGCTGGACACTTTTTGTTGTGCTCATATTTAGACGTCCTATTTTGCAAATGCTGCCTTTTTGAAATTTGGTATGCTTGTTTGTCTTTGTGTCTATGGTGTATAATGATGTGATTGTGATGCTGTAATTCTGAGTGTTTTACGTGCTGCAGAACAGGAACCTGCTGTAAAACAGCAATTATGCTGAGTCAGGCTTGATTTTTAATAATCTTTTCCTGTTAAATAAATAAATAAATAAATAAATAAAATAAAATCTTTTATCCTAATTTTTTTAATTCCCATCAGGCCGTGGCAGTGACTCGGAGTCTGACGGCCCCCCTCACAGGAAAATCCCCGACCTCCATAAAGACGACATGTTGGCGCGGCGGACGTCGGTCACCGAGCTGCGGACCGCCATGCCCTTCAACCAGTACCTGCCCAACAAGAGCAACCAGACCGGATATGTGCCGATGTCGCTTCGCAAGAAAAGAAACGACGACAAGGACGAGGGAGGACGCAAGAGCTGGAGTACCGCTACGTCACCTGTAGGGGGCGACAGACCCTGCAGGTAGGTGGGAAATAAAACGATAAAGAAGATATAAAGCTTTTACACTGGTTGATTCCTTAAAAATGTGTTTGATTCCTAACATAACTAGATGTCTGCAGTATTTATGTACTTTGGAGCAACTAACAGTTGATTAAAAGTTCCTGTTTTTAATTCTAATCCATGACGAACATAAACTTTAAACCCTGTTTGATTTACACATTCTGAACACTTATAGTAAAGGTTCTGGATTTGACCAGTTTGGAGATTTTGTTATAAAAATTTATTATTGCAAATATGAGATTATTGTGAACTGAAAAAGAAGAGAAACAGAAAGTAAAACAAACTTTTAGTTTTTTGTCCAGTTTTTGCATCTGGATTCTTTTTAAGCAGCAGGAGGTGTCAGGCGTGTCAAAGGGCATATTTCAGAGAAAACAAACTTTTCAGCTGCTAATTATTTGTCTCTGTCTCACACCGGACAGTTGAGGAGTGGCTGATGGAGACCAGATGTGTGTTTTCATTGGTTCTTGTTGAAGCTGAGGTTGGACCTGTGCTGCTATGTCAGTGTTGCGGCTTTAAGACGAGGAGGATTATTGGCTTTTATTGGTTTGAATCAGGAACTCCTGCGAAGCTCCAGGTTCAAAAATATCACAAGTTTTAATTTTTTTCTTGCTTGTCAGATTCTTTAGTTTAATAAATTGATATCTGCACATGTTGTTGTAGAACAGAAGTCATTTTTTAAAGGCTGACATTTGAGTTTATGGGTTTCTTGTTGTTTTAGCTGTTTTGAAAGACGGCAGCAGAAGATTACACATTTATGGACAAAAGCCAAATTTTTGCTCTCTCTTTCGTATTGCACTGTTTATGTTTCTGTAAAGTAGAACAAGCAGTTGAACACACACCGGGAGGAAGTTTGTTGTTCCCCATCCATTACCCACTGTTTACTGCTGACATCTAATCTCTCCTAAGTTTACTAATTATGTTGCATCAAAACTCTTTAAATCATTTTTCATTTTTCCTCCTCATTACACCGCCTTTCAACTCATTGTGTTTTCTCAAAGCTCTCCTTTCACCATTTTCTGTCTGCTTTAATGTCTCCTGATCATCTTATTGTCGTCACGTTTATGTCTTCCTGTCCTGTTTGTGATGTGTCAGTCCAAGTGAAGTCCCGAGGTTAGTCCTGCCCCCTGGAGATACCCTCAGTCCACCTTCCAGCCCTTTAGAACCCTCTTCACAGATTCAGGAGAGCCAGAGTAAAAAGGATGAGCGTGAAGGGGAGCAGAGTTCATCAGTTTCTCGCTTTAAGATCCACGCTGTGAGCGTAAGGAGGAGCAGTGAGCCTCTGCCCTGTAACCCTGAGCCCCCCAGAGGGACCACAACTCAACTGATGGTCACTTCTGAGCACAGGTCCAAATCTTTATCCAGTTTCTCTTTTTTTTTTCTAGATGTGTTCTAGTTTTTGTTTAAAAATGAATTTTAAACCTTTGATTGTTGAATTGAAAGGTTATTAAATGCAGGTAGAAATTGTGAACGTTGCTGTTTGAATATCAGCAAGAAGATGCAAAACTACTGAGCTGAATCTGGGTAAACAAAAGTAAACAAATATAACTCAAAACACTAAATTATTTTACTTGATAGTCTGGGCAGCACATCTTTTAAAAGAAAAATAATATTGTTTTGGTTAATGTGAACTTGGTTACAAAAGGTGGGCAGTAACAAAGTAAATTAACTTGAGTACTGTATTTAAGTATAGTTTGTGAGATTTAAAATATACTTTAGTAACATTTAAAAAAAAACTTTTTAATTTTACTCCACTACATTTTAGCTATGAAATCATACTTTTTATCTCCACTACATTTCTCTAAAGGCTTTAGATCCTAGTTACCTTTTTTGGTTGTGTTTGTGTAGTTTGTGTCTATTTTGTTCCACGACACTCTGTAAAATTACACACTGCACCCCTGTAAAGTAGGTGATAATATGCAGCTTCAAAATAGCTGCAAAGTGAAGAAGAAGAATTATTATTTTCCTGCTAGTGTTGCTTTATACAGGTATATTTCAGCACTATTGCAGGTCTTTGTTTAGATCCTGATTAGAACATGGACTCGTCTCATTTAAGACCTAAGTTAGAATGTTTTAGACTTTTAGTCTCTTTGTTCTATTAATGGATTTCTACCAATTTAACTTGGTTAAATTTTTTTGTGCAAAAGTTTTTTCTTGTTTATTGTAACCACCCTAACCCAGCCGGTCGAGGCCGATGGCCGCCTGTCCTGAGCCTGGTTCTGGTTCTGCTGGAGGTCTCTTCCTGTTAAAAGGGAGTTTTTCCTCTCCACTGTCTCCAGTGTGTTGCTCAGGATGAGAGACTGTCGCAGTGTTTCCATTGCAAATGTGCGCAAAACTTTGTCGATATTCTTTTAATGACGAAACACAGTTTCGGAATTGCGGTGTTTCCATTAAGGAAGAAATGCAATTAAAGTCACGCATAAATACGTTTGTTCTCGCGATAAGTCACTACAAACATGGCGGCAATGGTTGAAAACACATGAATATTGCTACAATGACACATCATCAGCCATCAGCGGAGACGTTGGCATCTTATCGTAGCTTTCGATCGACGAGCCCCGGGAGCGGYTACGTATGCGGCGTTTTTGGGAAATTGTAGTCGGTGAGTTTACTACTTTCTTTTACAACTTTGTGGTTTTACTACTACCTCTACTTCCTGTTGTCTTCTTCTTTGTCATCTTTTTCGCCAGTAGAATCATCCGGTTGTTGATCACGTGACTCGCGTGATGTGAAAAGTTTTTCCGTTGCAGTTTTGCGAAACACACCAATTTTGATACGGCCGAAAAACCACCTCATCCTAGAGCAAAACCATTTTGTTGAAAAAATGAAGTTTTTCGAAATTGACATGTTTCCACTGAGCAAATTTATTTTTGAATTTTTAATTTGCGCATTTTCATGGTCAATGGAAACGCAGCTTGTGATGAAGTGATTCAGCATAATCTGTTGCTTCTTTAAATTCTACTTTTGTCTGCAGTGCCCTGAGACAACACATGTTGTTACTTGCTGCTAAATAAATAAACTGAATTGAATTGTAACAAATATTAGTTTCAGTTTAGCAAATTAGTTCAAGTATGACAAATAACTAAAAAGCTCAGATTAGATTCACTAACTCTGTTCTATCAAAATCAGTTCCAAGTCTTTAAGTGGAGGAGGGGGTTTGCCCTGCAACGTTGCTAGTTCAAATCCCTGCCCTAGTGCATACTGTCGTTTGTGTCGCTACAAGACACTGAACCTTGTGTATAAATGTGTCTGTGTGATTGTGGTGGTCTGGAGGGACTATAGATGCAGGATGACAGCCACACTTCCACCACTGAGTGATTGAGGAGTGACGGAATGATCAAATAATGTAACATAACAAACTATAAAAGTGCTATACAAGACTAATGTATTATTATTATTATTATTTGTTTATTTTTTTCTAATTTTAGATGTGGAGTTACTGATTTGTTCAATATGTCTAAAAAGTTTCCCAATTACAGTGGTTTGCAAAAGTATTCATACCCCTTGAACTTTTCCATATTTTGTCACATTACAACCACAAACATAAATATATTTCACTGGAATTTAATGTGAAAGACCAACACAAAGTGGTATACAAWTGTGAAGTGGAAGCAAAATTTTACATGAATCAAAACATTTTTTACAAATAAAAAACTGAAAAGTGCGATGTGCAAAATTATTCAGCCCCCCTGAGTCAATACTTTGTGGAGCCACCTTTTGCTGCAATTACAGCTGCAAGTCTTTTAGGGTATGTCTCCACCAGCTTTGCACATCTAGTGACTGCAATTCTTGCCCATTCCTCCTTGCAAAACAGCTCAAGCTCAGTCAGATTGGATGGAGAGCGTTTGTGAACAGCAGTTTTGAGATCTTGCCACAAATTCTCAATTGGGTTTAGGTCTGGACTTTGACTGGGCCATTCTAACACATGAATATTCTTTTTTTTAAACCACTCCATTGTAGCTTTGGCTTTATGTTTAGGGTCGTTGTCCTGCTGGAAGGTGAACCTCCGCCCCAGTCTCAAATCTTTTGCTGACTCCAACAGGTTTTCTTCCAAGATTGCCCTGTATTTGGCTCCATCCATCTTCCCATCAACTTTGACCAACTTCCCGGTCCCTGCTGAAGAGAAGCACCCCCAGAGCATGATGCTGCCACCACCATATTTGACAGTGGGGATGGTGTTTTCAGAGTGATGTGCAGTGTTCTTTCTCCGCCACACATAGCGTTTTGCATTGTGGCCAAAAAGTTCAATTTTGGTCTCGTCTGACCAAAGCACCTTCTTCCACATGTTTGCTGTGTCCTCAACATGGCTTCTGGCAAACTGCAAACGGGACTTCTTATGGTTTTCTTTTAACAATGGCTTTCTCCTTGCCACTCTTCCATAAAGACCACATTTGTGTAGTGCACGACTAATTGTTGTCCTGTGGACAGTTTCCCCCACCTGAGCTGTGGCTCTCTGCATTTCATCCAGAGTCACCATGGGCCTCTTGGCTGCCTCTCTGATCAGTGATCTCCTTGTTCGGCCTGTAAGTTTAGGTGGACGGCCTTGTCTTGGCAGGTTTACTGTGGTGCCATACTCTTTCCATTTCCGGATGATGGATTGAACAGTGCTCCGTGAGATGTTCAAAGCTTGGGAAATCTTTTTATAACCTAAGCCTGCTTTAAACTTCTCCAAAACCATATTCCTAACCTGTCTGGTGTGTTCTTTGGACTTCATGATGCTGTTTGCTCCCCAATATTCTCTTAACCAACATCTGAGGCCGTCACGGAGCAGCTGTATTTGTACTGAGATTAGATTACACACAGGTGGACCCTTTTGAGTCATTAGCAGTCATCAGGCAACTTCTGAATGCAATTGGTTGCACTCAGGGAAAAGGGGGCTGAATACTTTTGCACGTCACACTTTTCAGTTTTTTATTTGTAAAAAATGTTTTGATTCATGTAAAATTTTGCTTCCACTTCACAATTGTATACCACTTTGTGTTGGTCTTTCACATTAAATTCCAGTGAAATATATTTATGTTTGTGGTTGTAATGTGACAAAATATGGAAAAGTTCAAGGGGTATGAATACTTTTGCAAACCACTGTATCTTCGACGACACTCAAGTAAAATGCATTGTTAAAACACTTCTTCAAACACACTGACTCAAGTAATGAAACAGTACTTTTTCCACAACTGCCTAGCTTTAGCTTCATCAGAGCTTATTCTTTGGTAGAAACAGGTTTAATTTTACATCTGGGTGTTCGATCCACTCAGTTTCCTCTTTGTCGCTCGCTGTCATCAGATCAAATTCTCTGTTGTTCTTATTCAGCTGCATAATTGTAAGTTTTCGAGAGGCTTTGTGCTCATTTAAGGGTAGTTAGGACACCTTGTCCTGAACATTTGACCTGTTGTTTAATAAACAGGACCAAGTTTTTACCCAGCAATCCACCCCCAGCTGCAGATTATATATCATGTTTCAAGCAACAAGGTGAGAATTATGGGCCGTCAAAGCACAGACATTTTATATTTCACCGTTCTCTCCGTTCATTCTAAGACTGCAGATTTTCTTTTTTTCATAATGTCATTTTAAGGCTCTTATGTTATTTCATAACCCAACCTTATCCAGTGTTATTTCCCTCTAAATCTTGTTTCATTCACAGTCCTGTGGGTTTGTTATTACAGGTCCTCCCCTTTCTTATTTTCTTCTTTCTTTTCTGCCTCAGATGTTAGAGCTTTGATACTTTAGTAAACTGTAAGCATTTCAAGAATCTGTATGTTTGTGTTCCAAAGAAACAGACGTTTCCAGGGTGTTTATGAAAGCTTTAATAAGGGTCGTTTTGATGTAGATTCACATTTGAACTAAATGTTTTTTTCCACTGAAAATAGCTTTGTCGTGAGTAATTGTTTGTGTGTTTTAAATCTGCTTTATATATGTCTGCAAACTGGTCCAGGCTGGTCTGTTGATAGATTTGCCTTTGTTGATAAAAGAAGAAAAAAGTGATTTAAAAAGTTGTATTCTTTGAAGGCAGGCTTGTTTTTCCCAGTCTTGTAGGCCGAAGTTTTAAACAAAGATGTCAGAAAATCTGTTGCAGCTTGGATTGTGTTACTGTGATGAGTCTCAGCTACTACTACACCAACTTTTAGCTCAATGTCTGCAAAATAGAGTTAGAGCCATGTTTGTGGTGTTCATCTGTTGGCTGTGGTGGCCATCTTGAATGCTTTTGACTCAGAGCAAAAATGCCAGTGTTAATTTAACACCCACAGTGTTCATTTCTACACAGACAAAGTGTGTGTCCACATTCGCTGGTGTTAAAATAACATTTGTGAAAGTGTTAAATTTTAACACCCATTTTTTTGTTAATTTAACACCAACCAGTATTCAACAAAATTGGGTGTCACGTTTACATTTCAACAGTGTTAAAATATAGTGTTAAAAATAACACTAATGTATTATTATTA